TAAAGCCTTTGAGATTCATCGAAGTTGTTGGATGTACTGATACCTGTTGTTTTCCTGAGTAGCATTCTGTTGTATGGATGTACCATAGTTTGTTTATTCATTCTCCCATTGAAAGATATTTTAGTGATCATTTTTTGTCATCACAGATAATGCTACTATAACTGTTTGTGTATAGAATTTTGTAAATAGCGGTTTTTATTTCTCTAGAGGGAATACCCAGGAGAGGGATTGTATGGTTGGATGGTCATTGTATGTATACATTTTTGAGAAACTATAAAAGTGTTTTCTCTAGTGTCTGTACTATTTAGTATTCCACTAGGAATGTGTGAGGGTTGTAGTTACTCTGCATCCCTGCCGCCACTTGGTATTGTCAGTATTTATTTTTTTTCTGAGGTGGGGTCTCACTCTGTCACCCAGGCTGAAGTGCAGTGGTGTGATGATACTGGCTTGCTGCAGCTTCCACCTCCCGGGCTCAAGTGATCCTCCCACCTCAGCCTACTGAGTAACTGGAACAATATCCGTGCACCACCATCCCTGCCTAATTTTTTTTTTTTTTTGGTATTTTTTGGTAGAGACTGGGTTTTGCCATGTTGCCCAGGCTGTGTCAATATTTTTTGTTTTAGCCATTCTAATGATTTGAGTGATATCTCATGGTGGTTTTAATTTGCATTTCTCTAATGACTGAACAATGTTGAACAAGTATTTATAAGCTTATTTGCCACTGCATCAAAAACTGCATATTTTTTTATAGTAGTCATCCTAATGAGTACAAAGGTTTTGATTTGCATTTCCCTAATTAGTGATGTTGAGCACTTTTTCACATGTTTATTGGCTGTTTGTATGTCTTTGGATAATTGTCTATTGAAGTCCTTTTCCCATTTGTTAACCAGATCATCTTGGTTTTTTTTGTTATTGAGTGGTAAGAGTTCCTTTATATTCTGGATATTAACCCCTTATTAGATATGTGGTTTGCAGATATGTTCTCCCTTTCTGTGTGTTGTTCCTTTTTACTCTGTCATTTGGTTCCTGCGTTGTGCAAGCATTTTCAAGTTTGATGGAATTAATGTATTTGTCTGATTTTGCTTTTGTTGCCTGTGCTTTTGGTGTCATATCCTAGAAGTCCTTGCAAAATCCAGTGTCGGGAAGCTTTTCCCCTAAGTTTTCTTCTAGGAGTTTTCTAGTTTCAAGCCTATACATTTAGGTCTTTAATCTAATGTTAGCTCTTTCTTAATGGGTTCTTTGTATTTTGGGCAGGGAATAAGTCTTTTTTTAATATAACTGTGGCAGGAATTTACTATATATACCTTTTTTTCTTCTTCCTTCCTCCCCTCTTTCCCTCCCTCCTTCCCTCCCTCCTTCATTCCCTTCTTCCCTCTCTCACGGCTTGAAGATAATGGAATCACTCACTTTTTGTTCATAATTGGTAAGATTTTAGTTAGTAGAATGATGATTCATTTTCAACAACACTTTGTTGTTTGTTCATTGGTTAGCAGGAAGAAGATGAGCCCGAAGTCCGAACGCGGCGGAATTCATGTGGATGCTGTGCAAGAAAGGATGTGGTTACTACGGCAACCCAGCCTGGCAGGGTTTCTGCTCCAAGCACTGGAGGGAAGAGTACCACAAGGCCAGGCTGTAGGAGATGCAGGAGGACTGGGAGCTGGCAGAGCGGTAAAAGGACTTAACTAGGAGTGGTTGAACAGTGACGTGACTGGATACATAGTTCTGTCACCGTCGAAATACATTTTTCTCTTCTGCATTGAGCTATCAGCACGTCAGTTTAATATTAAGGAAAAGGATGTTTTCCCCTCTTCTTCTCAGTTAGCCTTTGATGAACAGCTTTCAGTAGTTTCTTCATTTTGGGTATGTCTTAACTTCTGATTATTTTCCTTGGGTTGTGTTAGTCTTAGTTCTCAAATTTAGACAGTAAGCTCCTTGGAGTGGAAGAATGGAGATAGGCATTTCTGTTTCTTACTGCTTTTAATTGTGACGCTGCTAAGTCACTTGGAAAGTTTGTAAAAGCAGTGACTGCTGAACCTTACCCTCAGAGTCTCTGATTTTAGTAGCTTGGGAGTAAGACTAGAGAATTTGCATTTCTAACAAGTTGCCTGGTGATGCTGCTCCTACTGTCTGGGGAATCACACTTTGAGAACCACTGTCTTATAGATAGTGCTTGAGTTTTTTGTTTGTTTGTTTTGAGACAGGGTCTTGCTCTGTCATCCCTGCTAGAGTGCAGTGGTGCAGTCTTGACTCACTGCAACCTCTGCTTCCTGGGCTCAAGTGATCCTCCTACTTCAGCCTCCCAAGTAGCTAGGACTACAGGAGCATGACACCATGCCCAGCTAGTTTTTGTATTTTGTGTAGAGACAGGGTTTCACCATGTTGCCCAGGCTGGTCTCAAACTCCTGAACTCAAGTGATCCGGCCGAGCACGTTGGCCTCCCTGCGTGCTGGTATTACAGGCGTGAGCCACCATATCCGGCCTGTGTTTGGTACTTATTACAGATGGTTCACATGCAGCTAATCCAAAGCCAAATTTTATTGCTTTTATTTTTTATTCTCCCCATTCTGAACATTTGCCTCCTAATCCTTCTCTTGAGTCAATTAATGGCATCACTATTTACCAAGTTAGCTAAAAAATCTTGTTTTCATTCTTGATTTCTGTTTCATCTCCCTTGCTACCTACAACTT